TTGAGGGCATCCACTGCAGCCTGCATGAATTCAGTATCACAGGATCCACCTATGCCCCAGAAGGGCAGATGTGAGTACCAGCACCGGGAAGGGGCAGAGCTCGGTTGGGCTGCGCAGAGCTGTTAGCAGTGTCCTGGGTGCTTGGCCCCAGGTGCTTTTCCGTTTAAATTGGTTTTCTTCACGTGAAGAGTCCTCCAGGCACAAGTGAAACGTTCTGACTTTGTTCGACTGAAGTGAAAATGTGGCCTTGAAGTCAGATAAGTGAGGAGGGTGAGCAGGTGGCTGATTTACTGGACTGGGACCTGGGAAACTTGCCTTCAGTCCCCAGTTCTGCCACTTGCTGCATTTTGGGCTTATCTCCCTGTGCCTCTGTTCCCCATCTGTAAAATAAGGGTAATACCTATTTATTTCTCCAGTCTTCAAACTCTTGCCTAATTGGATTATAAGACGCTTTGGGGCAAGGACTCTCTCTTCCAGAGTGTGTGCAGCACTGAACTCAATGGGACTGCAACCTCAGTTGGGGCCTCTTAAACACTACCATAACTAATAATAAAATGACTTAACTGATGACCCATAGAGCTTAGCGCAGCTGGAAACATGAAGTGGTAAGGAAATTATTTAATGATAATTGAGCTCTTCATAGTGTGTGGGATTATATTACTGTTCTAAATTTCTGAGGTTAACGAACTTACAGTAACAGTCAGTCACTGCTGCTCTCCTCAGTACATGGGGCGAAGTGAAAAACACAGCATATGTTTGATGTGGGGACAGCATGGTCTAAGAGCAGACTGATTATCAGCAGCTTGCATTCCGTTTTTGAGTACGTATGTTGTGATATGTGGTTAAAGGAGATAAATCCCCAGAGGTACTTGCGAAATGCAAAGATTTAGGTGCTGGCAGCAAAGGACACTCGAGAGGGCATTGTATAGGCTCCCAGCGAATGTTAATTTAGACCAGCATTGACGTCAGAGGGATTTAACATGTGCTTAGAGGTAAACACAGGCTTTACTGAATCATGGCCGAAGAGTGGAGTTACTGGAGTCTTCACTGATGCATTTTATAATTGAGTTTGGAAGGGGTCATTTTTTTTCCCCTCAGTACTTAACTTTATTTCCCATGTCCTGGGGAGAGAGAACTGGCAGAAGCGTATCTGTTTGTGCCAAAAACATTTTTAGAAGCTGCTTCTCTAAGAAGTTCCAAATCCTCCTCTGCAACACTCTTGCAGCGTATGTAGAAGCCTGCTCATTAGATCAAACTCATTTGTCTTCAAGATCATTGACCATGTGGTCCAAAGGACAGTTCAGCATCATCGAGTTGTAGACTATTTAGTGTGTTCCCGGGCGCACCATGAGGAGGCAGCCTACATTACGCCCCTTGCTTTGTGATCATTGTATCATCATAAGCTTAAAAAAAAGAGATGAAACTAGATATCCCTATATCTCTGCCCCAACATATTTTCTCCTTTGAACATAACGTTATTTATGTTCCTCAGTGTTGCAGTTGTCTGCATGCGAGCGTGCTGTAATTGCCCACTTCCTGAGATGGGACCAACAAGCTCAGTATATTGGGTGGAATTTACCCCAGTGCAGTAAACCAGCTACGGTCACATGAGCCCCCTGTTAATGGCCTAGGTGTACGCAAGAAATTGGGCTGATAGGAGTTTCACTGATGAGATCTAGCAGTAATCACCAGTCTCAAGTCTAATAAGGTTCCATGAGGAATCTTGGTTGTACTCGGGTGCTATGAAGAGTTGTAGCACGGAGGTAAAAGCAGCTTTTGTCTCGGTCATAACACCTGATTGATCAGTGTGGTTGCTTGCATCTGCCTGCTATGCATGGCGCATGTCATGCTGTGGGAAGTGAGTCGTCTTGCATTTCATCACATCGGGCAGCATAATGTGGTCTGACTGGCCTAATCTGTCACCAGGTGAGACAGCTACAAATGCAGGCTCCAGTGGCAACATGTACCGAAATTTTTTTAAGAGGTGTTAAATGGATTCAAATACATTCTTTGCCTTCATCCTTAAGCCGGGCATATTGAGCTGCTTGGCCAAATGAAAATGTTGTCTTGTTGGTAGCTTAGGTTCAGCAGGGGAGGGTAATACCCCATGTTGTGGGAGGGGAACTTGCACAGAGTTCACCAGACTCCCAGTAGACGTGTCCCACTGCAGCTTGTTCAGTGTAAAACCTGAGCAGGGCTTCCTAAGGAAATCTCTTACTTGGACCTAATCCAGCCGGGCTCCCCAAGTGTGTGTTTGGGAACCTACTCACTGCTTACAGAAGGCATTTGGTGTATTTGGGGGCAGTCTGTATCAACTTAGAAGTGGGTAAAGCAGGAGATAAATTTAGGAACTTAGGAAAGGCACAGAGGTGGTTAAATTACCAGAGTGGGAACCAGATGTTCTGTCCTGGGGAATTTTACTCCACAACCACAAGCAAGTCGCCTTAAACTGTCTTTTTCCCTTCTCTGTAAAATGACTATAACTCATTCTAGGCTGGCAGGTTGAGTTCATTAATATCTATAAAGCAACCAAGTTTCTTGGATTGAAATCTTCATGAAAAACTGATCCAGGATCTCATCTGGTACAAATCAGTGTAGCTTGATGAACTTCAAAGAGGCTGAGCTGATGATGCCCCCTGAGAGCCTGATCTTGCATAGCTATTAACCTCTTAAATTGCAAGACCTATTTTAGGTTTCAGGGACCTGGCCATGCCCAGACCCTCTAATGGGAAGCAGCCCTTTGGGGTGAGTGATGTTCTTTGTTTTTGTCTTTTTTTTTTACTGCTTTCTTCCCAGCTCCCTTTTGCTATGAGTTGGGAAACCCCTCCTCCTGTTCCATTAATAAAATCTTAATTTAATGCACAAAATCCACCTCTTTCCTCCTTGCACTGTCTGGAATTGAATCCTTTGAGCCATCAGCTTTCTAACCAAACACAGGGTTGGTGCTATGAGGTTTTCTCTTGTTGTGTGTACCGTGCTGGTTATATGCCTTTGTGGATGTTCTGTGTGGTGTCTGCAGAAACATTACAGTCTCTTCTGTAGCTCCTAAAAATACTTCCAAAATGTTGTTCTAAATCTTTCTGTTGCCAAAATGACTCTGGGATTCCAATCTTCAACCTGTTCATAATGACTTTCTTTAGAGATGGACCACTCTGGTCTTTCCTGTGTCAGAGCAATCAGACACATGGGGCCTGAATCTTCTCTCCAATCAGTCTTAAATGCTTGCAGGTCTTCAGAAGGGGAAAAAAATCAGGCTGAAAAGGTTAGTTTGCCGTATAGATTCCATAGTAAGAGGCAACTTAGAAGGATATAAGGTAATTCACTTTTTCCACGGGTAGCCATCTGTTCTATCTACATTTGGTAAGATAAATGTAGATAAATCCAAGTGCATTTTTATTGGATTACTTTACAAGTGTTCATAAAACTTTAGCACATCAACCCACTTCACTCTGTACAAGAGAAAACAAGTATAAATTATTTGTGTTCTAGTAGTCGTCTCTAAAGGCCCTAGCTGAGGCCAGAGCCTTATCAGCACTGATTGCTGTGGATATACAACTAGAGACGGTCGCTATCCCAAAGAGCTTGCAATCCAAACAGGCAGGAGATTTGGAGAAAGGAAGCCTGGCAGATGGGGAGCATGTAAAGGCACAGAGTAAGTGTCTTGCCCAAAGTCCACAGGGAATCGGTGGCAGAGCCAGGATCTGAACCCAGCTCTCTTGAGCCCAAGCCCTTAGTCAACCTTCCTCCCGCATGAGGGAGCAATCAGTCCTGCTTCTAAGAATGTGGTTTCCTACCAGGAGCTTCCAGGATGTACAGAAGTTTTTGTGAGAAGTAAAAACAAGAGCTGAAGTCATTTGGGAAAATGTTTAATCGCTGTCTGAAGATGAGTTGCTGGGGTGGGTTTCAGATCGAGTCCTTTTAGACATGCATGTATTTTTGAGGTTGGGGTTCACTTGTTTAATTCCCATAGCTGTTCTCACTTGTTCATCACAAAAAACCTTACAAAGGAGAGCCAGTGTCCTCATTGTACAAATGGTGAAACGGAGGCAGAGAGGGTACGTGGCCTGTCCTATGTGTATCAGCAAGTCTGCTACAATATGACTGTTTGAGTTTTAAATTGTCTTCAATTGTTTAAGAAATCTTTTAAGCCTCAACAAGTCTGTCCCATCCCCCGCCTTAATTCACTTCCTAAAACCTTCTGAGAGTAGGGCAGTCCCTCGTCCATCTGACTGGGAATCGCAGCCTCTGGCCAGTCTGCGGACGGTGTCTAAACTGCATCTTTTTGTCGCTATGCAAACAGATTCTTCAAACTTTCTTGGCTCCTTCCTGCTTTCCACTCTTGAGCTCTAACAAGGGCTCCAGCATGTTCTTTCCATTGGGAAGAAGCAGTGGAACAAACTGATACTAATGAATATCTGACAAATTATTTTTCCAGCTAAGGGATGACCAGCTGAGCTTACACAGCCCTAACCTGCAGTTACCTCTGCTTGAGTTAGAATCACTTGCCTGTTTCCCCTGAAGACTGCCTCCGTCCTTTAACCATAATGCAGCAGCTTGGCTCAAGCAAGAAGTGGCATTTGGTTCCTTAAATGGTAATTGTTCAGGGCCATAACGAACGTATTTCTGTTGCTGTGTTTGACTCTTGCTCCTGGTCATTGGCTATTAAATACCGTGAAGAAATTTAGGGTCCTAACAGTCGCTCTGTTCCTTGTTTCTCAATAAGGAGCATCTGCAAGCTCTTTCCTTCCGACGCAAGCTTGCTGCCCCGCACAGAAAGAATTGGTTATCTCTCTAGATGCCGCATAATAGTACCTCTCCCCCCTGAAATGATAACTAGCTGGAATCCTTGCTGATCATCTCATCAGAGAAACTTGGATTAACATTGGATCTAACAGAATGAGCCTTTTCTATTGCAGCGCCTTTCGATGATTGATTTTTAGAATATTCTGACTATTAATGAGCTATGCTTCGTGACAGTTGTTTTGTGACAGCTGCTATTTGACTCCATTTTATGGAGGAGGGAATAGACACAAATGGATGATCTGTCTAAGATTTTGTGGCAAGTCAGTCGCAACAGAGAAGTAAGGACAGTGCTGCTCATGACAGGGTTTTTTTTAAAAAAAGGAAATAAAATTGGGATAAAATGCCGTCTACCCATTAAACAAGGGACGAGCTCTTCACCATAGGTTCTCTGAAGACGATAAGGAGTCTCCGATATAGGCGAGATGATCCTGAAGATCTGTCACACCTGACTGACGGAGACTGGCATTTCTGCAGCTATCAGTTGGAGAAACGGACACGAAGGAGTGTTTGCTCTGTTACTTTCCTGCTTCTTCCTCTTCTTCCTTTGAGTTGGCAAAACCAGCCTGCTGCATCCATTTTGATGGAAACATTATCTGATTTTCCGCATGATCTTGTATCATCTCTGTGTGGTCAGGTTTTTCTGTTTGCACCAAGGTCCGAGGCCCCGTGTAGATGGGAGGTGGACGTGTGCCTATCACGGGACAGTTCTACCCTGATCTGCTTAAGTAGATGTGACAGTACAGGAGGGGACGAAAGACACGGGGACAGGAGATCACTCATTCAAGTTGACGCAGCCTGCAAATGGCAGAACTAACAACAGAATAGAGGTGTCCTCCTGCCTGCCAGTCTCCGGTCCTGCTCAGTAGACCGCGTTACCTCTCCTCAACAACGCTTGGCACCAGCTCTCTGGGTGCAGGTTAAATTCTAGTATGTTTGGCCACGTTCTGCCCATTTAAACTTGCTCTGCTTCGTGAAATTCTTCTGCGCTTCCCATCTCAAACAGCTGGGTAGTATGGTTATGTCTGGATAAAGCGCCACAGCTGCTTTTCAGGAATGCATAAGGTTGCTCCTGTATATGGAATTTGTGAACCACAAGGGGCTCTTTCTTGGTACACCAGACATCCTACAAATTCACGTTATAATTGGGATGCAAAGCTGTTTGGACAGAACGTAAGAATATTTAACTCTCCACACATTCTGGTTTATAAAACCCTTCCCACACCACACCCTTAATGTTTTTTGGAGCCCTTGGTGTTTCTTTAATTAGCCAAATGCTGCTGCATTGCAGCTGCATCTAGGCAAAGCCATTTATTAATGTCCCATCAAAGGGTACAGTTTGTTTCTTGCTTAGGAACAGCTAATTGAGAGCAGTCCTTATACTTGTCATCCGTCCTTAAATGTTTCTCTGTGCACTGTTCTGCTGCAGGGAACTTGAGAAATTGCTTGGGGTTGGAATGGGAGGACTTTCTTCTCAGTCTTGGGCTCTGCTGCATACATGCAGAAATTTTAAAACTCTTTGACAGTGTCCCTAATCCTGTTTTCTGCTGCCTTTACCTTGTCTTTCTCCAACTCTCCATTTTAACACTAGCCTTTTCATTTTTTCTAATCTAGGTCTGGTCCAAAGCCCACTGTGGAAAAGACTAACCAAAAACCAGGTGGTTTAGGGCCTTTGTTGCAACCGTCATGGGTCCCCTTTTGTAGTGGATCATATGGGGAATCCATTTGGCTGTGGCCTGGTCCCATTTTTCAGGAGTATGGCACAAATTCCCCTTGGTCACCTTTTGTGGTAAAATCCCAGCCCTGTGCTTTACCTTTGTAACTGCCAGTCCCCTGTTGCAGGCTCTGCATTTTCACAGCATTGCCCATCTAAAATGTAACTTGTTACGTTTTGAGGATACTATTATTATAGTGGTTTGTTTTAATTGCAGCCTGAAGGATGAAAAGCCTGTTCGTTGTGGCCAGTATGACGGTCTGGTGGAATTAGCCACTATCTGCGCTCTCTGCAATGACTCCTCTTTGGATTATAATGAGGTGAGTGGGCTGGATCATTATCATATTTGTTGTACCAACTGCACTTACAGTTTTTCTAAGCTGTTCCTTACAGCAAAACCCAACAACATGCTCCATCCCCTGTGTAAAACAGATCATGGAGCAGTGGCATGGACTGCTTATTTTTGAGCCCATAGCTACTTTGTGTATTTATACATGTGCTTGCGGGGAGGGGCGCTGCGCTTTAATTAAAGGGCCCAGAGCATTGCCTGTCTCAATGTCCCCGCACTGAAAAATGTCAGCGGGGGTGCTTTAACTAAAGCTCGTCGGATGGCGATACATATGACTCTGGAGTCTGCTGGAGTGTGGTAATGACCATGCTTCGGCAGACTCGATTGATCAAGTCTGCTCTGATGCACTGTAACTACAGCATGTCCGAGCAGCCCCAGTGTATGTGTATAGGTGCCCTTTGTGCCCATTGCTTATTAGTAGGGACTGACTGAAATCATGGCAGAAGTGTGCTGCACAGCGGCACCTTAAATCTTGGAATATTTCCCGGCACGTCAGTAACAAGCTGTGAGGCCGTGGGGCCCCTGGGCCAATTGGTGGCAGGAGGCAAAAACTGTGCCGTATTTTAAACCACAGTTTTCACCTCCCTGCTGATCGGGAGTGAGCGGCAAGGGCCCTCTGCCAATCGGTGGCAGGGGGGCGCCTGAGGAAAAATTCCATTATTAAAGGAGCTGCCATGCAGCACACTGCTGCCACAATTTTGGTAGGTCCCTACTTACTAGGTTGGGTCGGCATGGGTCAAAATGTTCATGTAGAATGCATCACATCTTATATCTCATTTATAGCCTTATAAAGGGACTGAGCACAGACAGGCTTCTCTGTGCTGTACAGGTATTCCTTTTAGCATCAAGATGGACTGTGGAAGAGTGGCTTTTTTTATGGAGGCAGGTTGCTCCTGCATCTTTATACCTTCCTTTGAATCCATGCATAGTTATAGGTACAAATCAGAGGCAGAGAATTAGCCCTGTGACAGATTTGAGGGCACAGGTTCTTCAGACACAAATTGAGCCTGTGTTTGCGCTTGAAAATTATTCCCTGGGATTGTACTCATGACCCTTACAGAAAAGTTTTTGTAGTGCAGACAATACAGCAGGATATTCTGAGCTTGAGTAGTAGTTCAGCTTGTTTAACACAGTCTCCCAATGTGGCTGCAGTATTGCCTTAGAGCAGGGGTGGGCAATTATTTTGGCCTGAGGACTGGTCAATGAGTTTTAGTGAGCTGTGGAGAGCTGCATATGGTGGGATATGCATGGGAGCCCCCCATGCATCCTGCAGTGCCTCCCCACCACCGCCAATAGCACTTAGCACCAGCACGCCCCGCACCTGCTCTGTACCATCTGGCCGTGGTGTGTCCTGCTGCCCCCTGGGCACGCAGCAGGGCTGGGGTGACTCCTTCTGGCTGCCGCTGCTGGCCCTAGCCCTGGAGGGACCCACACGCACAGCCCCAGCCCAGCGTGCCCCACACCTGCTCTTGGCTTGCCATCCAGGCTTGGCAGTGGCAGCGGCTGACGGGAAGAAAATGTTGCTCAGCGTAGAGGAAAAGCAGCCTCTCCCCCTTGCTGCTGCTCCTGGGCAGTTCTTGGTGCAGCTGCCCAGAGCCTGCACTGTGCTGGGCTGCCCTGCCTCACTGCTGCCTGGGCCACTCTGCACTGTCACCACTGCCCCGCTGGGTAGTTTGGAGGCGGCGGAGCAGCCTGGTGCGGCGTGGACTCCAGGCAGCTGCACCAAGAACTGCCGAGGGGAATGGGCTACGTTTCCCCCATGCCAAGCAACAGTTTCTCCCCAGCAGCCACCACTGCTGAGCCTAGATGTGTAAATCTGGAGTAGGCACGAGGGGCTACACGTGCAGGTCTCTGCCAGTACCGTGGGGTGGCAGCGGGAAGGAGCTGCTGCTGCTTGGGCTGCCTAAAGAAGACAGTTTAGTTGCAGAGCTGCTGCACGCCCAGGGGGCTGCAAGGTGTGCAACGGCAGGACCAAGGGACCCACCGTGGGCTGTTTTTTGCCCCCTGCCTTAGAGTGAAAATGATGCTCTTGGAACCTCACAAATGATACGGTAAATAACAGTAGAGCAAGTGTCTTGTTGTAGCCGTTATGGTCCAGAAATTATAAGAGAGGCAACATATTACGGTAGTGAGAGACTGATGCTGTAGCTGTGATGATCCAGAAATGTCTGGACCATTATGACTGCAACAGCAGTCTTATGCTATTGTAACATGGAAGATTTTGAAGTAAATAACATCATTCTGAAGTTTAGGACACTAAGGGTATGAAGCTCGCTATTTTCTTTGAAATGTGAAATTGAAAGTTTGTGTTCCTTTCTTTCTGGCCAGTCAAAGAAAGTCTATGAGAAAGTGGGAGAAGCAACTGAGACGGCCCTGACCTGCCTAGTGGAAAAGATGAATGTCTTCAACACTGATATCAGCAACCTCTCTAAGGTGGAGAGAGCCAATGCCTGCAATTCTGTAAGTAGCATGATTGGACAGTCTGTGTGGTTCTTTTAGGCCTGGGGTAAGGAAGGGATGAAATAAGTTTGAAAGGTTGCTTAGATCCATACAGTAATTTTTCTCCCAGAATTACTGCTCTATATGGGATCGTGTTTTCTGACCCCCTCAGCCCTAAGGGGAAGTGGAATCCCAGCATGTTAAGAAAACCTCTGATCACTCTGGATGTCAAAATGTGACTAGTACTTGCTTGCTAGAAAGCGCTGAAGCAACTATCCACCTATCAGATGTCCCAGATCGGCCTGCTAGTTGCTCCTAAAAAATAGCGTGTTAGGCTGTACAGTAGAACTGAGCTTTGCAAAGACATCAAGGGCATTTAGATGCCGTGATTCCCCAAAATCTTAGATTTGTAGAGTTTAAGGCAAGAAGGGACCACCTTGATCATCTAGGCTAGGGTTCCTACAGACATTCGGGGCCCCACTGTAACTCATGGCACATTACATAAAGTGCCATGAATTAGAGGCTCCCCACTTCCCCCACGCACAACGCACATTCACCTGTTGGGCCAGAGCAGGCTGGAGTCTGTCTGCACCAGCCCTGGCCAGCAAGGGGGGGGGCACTCCGGCAGCCTCCAAGGAGGCTGCTGAACTGCTCCTCTTCCTAGCCCCTCACCCCCTCCAGCTCCAGGGCTGTCAGTGGGGAGGGGAGGGAGCAGCCAGCACGGAGCTGCCAACTGCTCCCTTTCCTTTCACCTCCGTGCCTTGTTGACAGCCCCATCCCCATACAAAAAAAAAGTAACGCTGGAGGGAACACAAGTTCCCTAAGGCACCCTGCTTTAGAGCACCTTAATCTAGCACTTCATTTTACAAGGGTTAATTTTTCATGTGATTGGCCATTTTAAAAGCACTCTGCAGCCAGGCTCGTGTTAGTCAGGACTATAGAGCACTTTCAAGGGCCCAGTCATGCAAAAAATGTCACCTGTGTAAGCACTTCTAATTTAACCACCTGTATAAGAGATGCTATCAGACTTCCCTCAGTTAATTCCTGTTTGAACTAGAGCATCTCTTTGAGAGAAAATTTCAGACCTAATTGGACAGTTCCTACAGTGGAAGTTATTTCTGCTGGCTAATGATGCTCACTGTTAACAGTTAATGCCTTTGTTTTAAGCCTGAATTTGTCTAGCTTCAATTTCCACCTATTGACTCTTGTTTGCCATCAGAATTGAAGAGCCCTCTATGGTCAAACTCCTGTTCTCCATGTAGGTACAGAGGGACTGTGGTCAAGTCACCTTTCACTCTGTTTGGATAAGTTAAATAGATAAACTACCTTAAGTCTCTCATCAGACATGCTTTCCAGTCCAATTCATTCTCTTGGCTTTTTTCTTGCAAGGTGCTACTGATCTGAAAGATTTTAATTGCTAAGCAGACACGGGCTGCATGCCAGTTTTCAGGACAGTGGCAAAACCTGTCCTTCACTAAGCCTAATTGGAAAATGTGTAGCCCAAGGCATCCACAGAGATGTGTGGTATGTGATGGGAGGGGAAGTATTTAAGAGCCTGACTCAGAACCTATTGACATCAGTGAATACAATTGGGGAGTTCAGTGTGTTTGGATCAAGCCCTCAATATCATGATTGTATTGTACAGTGTAAATGGGAGAACACTATCCTTCCCATGCCCCCTGGTATTATGGTAGCTGCAGTTGGACAGAGTAACATTTTGGAAGGACTTAAACACCATTCCTTTTTTTTTTCTGAATGGCCCAGCCTTACGATCTGCATGAGCCTGTGACAAATAAAATGGGCTCTTTGGGATTCCAGACTCATTGGCACATAGAACCAGGTATTAAATACAAGCCAGTGGACCATAGCTGCTGTGCTGCTCTGCGCTAGTGTGCGCACACTTTCGTGTGTACACATGTGTGTTGAGCTACTATCACCATAATAGCAGAAGCTGAAAAACTGAGCTTGGCAATAATGGTCTGGCTTGCATTTTAAGATATTTGTTGTAGCCGCCAGTTCACACCGGAGCTGGTAGAGTGTTTTGAAATGCAGGGGCTGGTCCTGCTGAGGGCTGAGTCTGCCTTAGTGTGGGAAGTAGTTTTAAAAGATGAGAGTTGATGGCCCATCCGTTTGTTTGCTACTAATTACTGAGTAAGTTCCTGTGCCATTGGATCTTGAGCATAAATGTGAAAGCACCTGGATGCCATTTTAGCTTGCTGGTAGCTAAGATTAGCTCAAAGTGAAAGTCCCCTTTGTTTTTCTTATTGTCACTATTGCAGAACCACACCAGCTTCTGCATTTATCCCCCCCCCCCCCC